GTTGCCCCAGGTATGTTTAAAATAACTATTTAGATTTTTGCCTTCCTCTTTTATAAATAAATATAATAAAAGATTTAAGATATCGTTCTAGAGTTAACTGATTTTTAAATGTAAAGCTATTTATGAAATTTTGTTAAATAGACGATCCTCTCGCTGCCGCTCCAGAACCCCCGCACCCGGAACRAATCGTCGTTGGCGCTCCAGGTATGTTTAAAATAAGTTGTATTTTAAATTTGGATTTTTGCTTACTTTAGTACATAATAATTAGGTATTTCAGATATCGTTTCCAGTAATTTAATTTTTAAATATACGATAACTTATAAAACTTTGTTAAATAAGACGACCCTTTGGCTGCCCTTCCCGAACTGCCTTTCCCGGAACCGGAGCAATTAATTGTAGACGCCCCAGGTATGTTTGAAATAAGTTTTATTTTTTCATAAGCATTTCACTCATTGCTAGACAATAAGGAATTTCAGAGATGGTTTCAAAGTTAAGTGGTTTTTCTTTGATTATTCATCAATCTTTTTTAATAYCTGACGCCCTAGCTCAAAATCACTTCGTTGCCCCTCCTGAGCCCCCCTCGACCTGGACCTCTGGAAGTTCCTGCCCTTGGTATGTTTGCTAATTTAACATTATTCAATGCAATAAACGCATTTCTTTTAACAGATGATCCACCACATAATCCTCCTCTATATGTGGTTTGTCGGGGTGCACGAGCGACACACATGTTTTATCGTTGCGGGCATTGTGTACAAACTGCTCAAACGAAATACGTGCCCGCAACATTACAACTTGTTCCGTGTGTCGGTCGAGGTGGGAGGACATTGTCCAGATTCTTTTTTTTAAATAGTTTTTTTATTTATCTTGTATCCTTTAACCCACCGCCTCCTTAATGAAATGTATGAATATCCCGCCTGGGCATTTCGTAAAAAATGCATTGGAGCAGTGATTCCGAGTTTTTCCTTAGTTACGGGGGTTACTATGTTCTATGTAGTACGCCAACTATCAAAAGTGTCAAATCAATTAACAATCTGTCATCAAAGCGACATTAATTAAGTCATTTTTGAAATCCTGTTTTGTTGTACCTACCCTTTCTTTCCAGCTTTTATTTGTTGCGTTATTAATCATTAGTTTAGTTGGTTTGTGTTTTGTTGTTCTTGTGTTTGTGCTTTTTTATATTTGTTAAATTATTTTAATATTGAAAGAGTAGTATTAAGTCTGTGAAAATATGAATAAAACTCATAAAAAGTGTTGTATCCCAACTTGTCAGGACAAGTACTGRTCAATGCATAAAGTACGTGTTGGAAGAAAGTGGATTTTACTATGTCCTAACAAGAAGTTTTAGTTCTGATGCAATTGAATCTATGTTTAGCAATGTTCGTCTTCAAGGAGGTTCACAAGATACTACAGATGCTCGTGCTGTTCATTACGCTATCAAGAAAATTATTCAGTCAGGACTAATAACATCTTCACCATCTGCAAATATATCGTCGGACTGTAGCTTTCTTAGTTCTGTTGGAGCCCTACAAAGTAATTATGAAACTTTGGCGACTCCGGATATCAACTTACCTGAACACATTGGCGAAGAAATTTTTGAGCTTCAAAATATTGATAATTGTCATGTATATCCAGGAATTACCTCAAGTTCAATCGTATTTTTGGCTGGATATCTTTGTCTCACAATACAGGAGAGGATTGAATGTGAAATCTCCTTGAACACGGTGCAAACAAGAGCAAATTCAAACCGTTTACTAGATTCAAGATCAAGGTAACTTAAAATACCCCACCAGTAATTTTGTGGGCCTTATAAATAAAATTGTGACTGTGACTTTAAAAGTCATGCCGTATTTACCTGTGAAGTGTAACCCCATTAAAGTTTTAACTTCACTTTTYAACGATTCCATAGTTTCTTCGAATTTCTTTGTAGGCGCAGAAGCTGAACACAGATCAGCAATTACAAACATTATTTTAGTAAAGCTTTTACGGCCAGTGTTAGCCAATATTGGAAAAACTCGAACTGATAACGTAATTGCTACAAGTTCCCTTCATAGTAAGCCTGGCTGTAGAAAAATTCTAAAATTATAAACTAATTTCTATTTTTGTAGTGTTTATTTATTACCTTCCTTCCTTCCTTCCTGTGATTACTTTTCACCTTTGAATAATCTATTTTAAAATTTCTGAAAACGAATGAACAGATAAAATGTCACTGTCAATATTTCGAGGTTAAACACTTTAACCTTCAAAAACTGGATGTGTCAAAAGTTTCCCCAGTTCAAAGCGCTAACGGGAATCACTTGAACTGTTTGTCTGTTTAGGTGAGTTACTGATTTAACATTATTAGGTATTAGATAAGGGTTTTGTAAGAATTAATACTCTTCTGTATCTTAAACAATCAACTTCTCGTTTTTAAAAGTCTCTGCTTGTTGTTAGTTAAGTAGGAAACCTGTTTTTTTTTTGTTATTGCATGCATTTTATAGTTGTAATAATATTTTTTCTTTCTGATTTAAGGAGTAATCCTCGCATAGTACTTACTTCCTTTCTTTTTCTTTCTGCTTTAAGGAGTAAACCTCGCATAGTACTTGCTTCCCAATATGTACCTTACCTATGTATTTGTGCAATAATTACACATATTAAACTTTAAAAAGAATTCTTTTTGTGTTTATTTTTCTAATCCKAATCCCACAAACTTCAAATCGTGATGAATTTAAAAACTGTAAATTTACTAGTCTGTTTTCTTTAATGTAAAGTCAGTGTTTTTTAATAAAACAAGTAGATAGGTTTTTTCTGTTTTGAAAAAAATGACAAGAACAGTCAGAAGAAAATTCGCAGACAAAAACAAAGACAAACAATTTTGGAAATTTGGGGACGACATAGGTATCTAGCTGTAAAGTGAATTTTAAAACAAAAAAGCCAAAACTAAAGAGAAATTTAGAACAAAGCATCATACAAAATTTATTGTTACTTTGCAGAATATCTAAGTGTATTCCCCACAGAATAACTTTTTCTAAATATGAGTACACACTATTTTTAATAACAAAAAAAATTTAACGGGAAACCCACTTTTGCCCTGTAGCACTGTCATTAGACATAAGATAGAGATGTCTGTCCTCAGATTTTCGATAATTACGCTTTCAAGGAGCAGAAAGACACAAAATGGGTGAAAATCAAAATTTTGACATCTCAACATGACAAGATAACCCCACTTTTTTACATAATTTTCTAGGAACAAAAACAACTAAATTTGTGACCATGGGGACAAGCTGCCACCTGTTTTCTCACAAAAATTTGGGGTTGCTAATTTCTGTTTAAATCAGAAACAGCTTTTACCAATTTTTGGAAATTTTCTTTAAATTTTGGAATTTCAAACCAAGGTCACCTAGGTCCGTGAAAATCTAATAGGCCATGCCTCACTAAAAATCACACATAACGCTGCCCTCTGTTAGGCAAAAATGAAACTACGAGGTTAAGTCCTCCCACCACGATTCTGATTTTGACCGTTTATGCCGATGCGCGGTTATGCGATTGAATGGTTCTCGATTAGAATGTTTCTGCAAAAGGACCTTTCTAGAGAAATACGTTTCTGATGATGCATTTTCTGGAATAATACGATTCTGTTTTTGAATGTTTCCGATAACGAATGTTTATAAATTTGGATGATTTGGCTAATGAATTTTTCCAGAGATGCCCTGTTCTGTAAGGTCATTTTCGGATAATGCACGGTTCTGGGCAAGAATGTTTCTAGGTCCATACGCGTCCCCAACGTAGGTAACCTACTATACACCGCAACTACTTTGCTACCGTTACCCCAAACACCTTGCTAAAGCAAAACATCGAGGTGAATGCTTCTATAAGAATAGGAAGTGTCAGTTGTGTAACGTGACTGGCCATACGGCTAAAAATTGACAAAGTAGTAGGAATGTTAACTTTGTAAACAAACACTCGACGGATGATGAGGTAAATTGTAACAATTTCTATGAACAAGAGTCCTTAGACAGATCACAATACAACAATGCATTAGATTTATTTTACACGGGTTTTAATAAAGTTGTAGACGAAAATTTTAAATTGTCGGTAACGTTAGGTGGTGTTCTTATTAAACTTTCAAGTCTAAATTGAAAACCATGTTATGTGATCCGAAGAACGCTCGAACACCAACACGAATATCTAGATTTTTATTTACGTATCGGACGACCCCGTTCACTGTTCCGAAGAAATTAATGTTCGACCGAATACCTAGGACAAGATTGTCACAGATTCGCGAAGTGGATCATAAGGCAAGTGCTGGTTCACAAATCGAGTTAAGCGAAGTAACCCAACGAATTCAAGAACATTTTAGTCGACAAAAGAAGCAGTTTGGAGGATGAAAATTGCGGTGGTAAGACTATTGAGGAAATTAATCATCAGAACACCGGTTTTAGCCTCGACACTAAAGTAACGAATGTGGAACCTCTGCGTACGACATCTCATTTGGGAGACGACACGGCAGAGGTCATTTTAGGCACCCAACCTCTCACGCGGACTTCCGGATCGGCAAATAAAGAAGCCTGCGTGGCTGGCTGGGTACGACATAGCAGGAAAAAAAATGTATAATTGACAAAACAACGTAGAGTGAACCTAAGTTGATTACCCATACTATATTCCCTTTACAACCAAATATTGTAAAATGAATTTTGTACCTAATTTGACTAACTATTAAACATTACAATTTGAACATTACAATAATAAGCTAAGTGTGGGGGTGTAGTATAGGAAGGGCGCATGTGAGCCGAGATGACAGGATTCGGGCAGTCTATTAACTACCCGTCTGATATAGAGTACTTGTGAGCAAGAAGGGAAGCCCATTTATTGAATGTCATTGTATGCATTATCAATTCCCTCATCCCGGGTTACCACAGTCACGTCTCGCTTTCTTGTTAGTCTTGTTCATCTTACGTAACATAACAGTATTGACTTTTGTTTCCGTTGAAAAAGGAATTTGGTCGAGAATAGCAACCAAATCGGGGAAAGTTAAACCTTGTAACTAGAAAGGGGATTTAGCCGCTTAATAGTAATTTAGGGGTTTCAAGTAATTATTATTGATATTACAATAGGTAACTTGTTTGTCTAATATTTTCTTTATCGAGGGCTGGTATTTAGAAAGCAACCTTTTTGTGAACACACACCTGGCTAATTTCTTATTACCCAGAAATGATAACCTAGATTTCGTTGTTTTAGTTTCTCTTTTTGAAAGAGGAAAAAAAATTTAATTTTTAATTTTGCGTCAAAACTGCAAAGAATAGTAATTTATTGTACAAGACGATAAAGAAACTGTTTATCTACGAGTGAAAAGGTTAAGTTTACGAGTGACGAAATCACGAGTGGATTTTTTTCACAAGTAGATAAACAATTTATTGTCGTCTATAATATTTCATTTTATGTTGTACTTTATTTTACAAGACGATAAAAGACTACTTTATCTATTAAAATTAGTAGATAAAATATAAACAGTAGAAATCATGCGGCTATCCACAGGTATAAATAGTAATAAGTTCTCCATATTATGAAAATCTAATTTATATGCAATTTTAGGAATAAGAGCAGCAATGACATATAGGAAAAAAAAGCGGATAAGGTATCGGCGGTTGGAAGACTACGGCAGGATATTTTGAATTGTGACCAATGAATTTCCAATGAACTGAAAGGACTCATTCAAAATATTTTGCGCACTCTGGCAAGTCACTCCAGAAGCTTGGAAATAAAGCAAAGAAATAAAGTAAAAAAGCAATAAGAACGTGAGAAATGGCTAGGAGAAAAGAAGAAAAGTGCAAGCGACAAGTGATAATGGAAACACTGACTACGGGGAAAATTGTCAAAAACCCGATATGACTCCAAAAATTGACGAAGAGAACAAGAAGGCGTTTCTTCAAGGATTAGAAAGAACCAATGATGAAAGAGTCCAGCTACAAGAGTCCATAGGGCTTCAAGTTGGCTCCGGACAATGGCTCGAAGAACGACGAAAGCTGCTTACTGCTTCGAATTTTGGGAAGATCTGTAAAATGAATTCCACTACAAGTCCTGCCAACATAATCAAGGGTTTACTTTATCAAATAAAAACTTTAAACGTGCCGTCAGTCAACCATGGAAAAGTCAATGAAGAGAGAGTGAAGCTCCAACTAATGCAACAAGAAAATGTGACAATAGCAAACTGTGGTTTCTTTGTGAACAAAAAGTGGAATTTTTTAGGTGCTATTTCAGTTACTCTAATTAAGAAAAAAATTAATTGAGTAAACCGAAAAATCGACAATCCGGAAAACCCATTGAATTAGTTCCTATTTATCCGTACCCTTCGTCTTAGAGCTCTCTAACTCGAGACTTATTTCAGTACTGAATTTAGTACAGAAATTGCGCGCGCAAATTTAGTAAGCTTGGAACCAAGAAAATAGAGCATGTTCTAATTTCTTGGATGAAAGCTTGCCAAAACTGTGCACTAAAAATGCGCAGTAACTATAAGAGTGAACCGACGAAGCGAAATTGTATAATTCGGTCAAGTCATTAAAAGGCAGAGTTAAAAAGCTGGAAAGACAAAAGAATCATTTACAGGAGGCAAAAACTTTGGCAAATGATGAAGTGCGTCATTTGAATGAAGGACTTACTCCAGTTCAACAAAGGTTTTTGGAAGAATTTGAAGAATTATAAGTATTAACTCCAGGCAAGGTTTGAGTTAGACTGGTGAATAGTTTTTTCCCCGGGTGTACAAGACTGACGCTATTGCTATTGACGAAAGCAGTCCTCGAACCCATAGGCTTCTTTCCAAAATCTTTATACTACCGTCAGAAAGCACACTGAAGACAACTCTTGCTAAAGTTTCTATTCCATCAAGAATTTCAAATCATATGTTCAAAGATCTCAGATGGAAAGTGGGCCCAAAAAAGCGGGATGGGATTTGTACTCTCATCTTTGACAAAATTCAAATACAGCCACATTTGGACTATTTGCCGCATGCAGATAGTCACGGGATTTGGGGATGACGATACAACAAGGTCTGGAGCGGTTGCTGACCATGTTCATGTCTTTACGATTCCTAGGGTTTTTAAAAGGTGGAAGCAGGCTGTAGCTTTTGCCTTTTGTAAATCTTCGATGGAAGCCAGCAATAGTTTAGTTTAGTTTCTACAAACAAATCGTTGCTGCAGCTTCTGTGGTAGAGTTGATTATTGTTGCATCCGTTTGTGACATGGGTTGCAATAAACTATTATAATAAACTATTGCGCACTTAAAAATATGATGTGGTGCCAGACAATGTGATACGGATTTCGCTTTCTGACAACACATGTCAGGAAGTGATTCCATTGTTTGACCAACCTCATCTTTTGAAGGCATTCCGGAATGGTCTTTTAGAACGGGATTGCCAGTTAAGTGTCAATGTTGCAAGGATGCAACAAAAAAGATGGTTGCAAAGTCGAATTATATTCAAAGGGTGGTTGCCATCGGTAAGGCAAAAATCAGGGTTTTCCGCCTGTTGCCAAAGATTTCGGCAGTTTGATTTCGAGCGTTGTTCTCATTCGGAATTATTAAAGACTCAATTTTTTGAGAACTTCGTTAAATATCATATTATCATAT